GGCATATATTAAAAAAAAAAACCCTAGGGACTGGGCATGGTGGCTCACACCTGAATCCCAGCACTTTGGGAGGCAGGAGTATCACTTGAGCCTAGGAGTTCAAGACCAGTCTGGGAAACACAGTGAGACTTAATTGCTACATTTTTTTTGAGACACAGTCTCGCTCTGTTGCCCAGGCTGGAGTTAGTGGCGTGACCTCGGCTCACTGCAAGCTTCACCTCCTGGGTTTTACGCCATTCTCCTGCCTCAGCCTCCCAAATAGCTGGGACTACAGGCGTGCACCACCTATGCCCGCCTAATTTTATTTTTAGTAGAGACGTGGTTTCACTGTGTTAGCCAGGATGGCCTTGATCTCCTGACCTCATGATCCGCCCACCTCAGCCTCCCAAAGGGCTGGGATTATAGGCATGAGCCGAGTCTGGCCTTTTTTTTTTTTTCTAATTAGCAGGGTGTGGTGGCACACATCCGTAGTCCCAGCTACTAGAGAGGCTGAGGCAGGAGGACTGCTTGAGTCCAGGAGCTTGAGCCTGCAGTGAGCCATGATTGCTGAGGCAGGAGAATCACTGGAACCTGGGAGGCAGAGGTTGCAGTGAGTCGAGATAGCACCACTGTGCTCCAGCCTGGGTGACAGGGCGAGACTCTGTCATAGAAAAGGGAAGGGAAGGGGAGACGAGGGGAAGGGAGGGGAGGGGAAGGGAAGGAAAGAAAGGAAAAACACTGCTGATCTGGTTAGGTTTTATGTCCCCATCCAAATCTCATCTTGAATTATAATCCCCATAATCCCCACATGTCAAGGGAGAGACCAGATGGAGGTCACTGTAATCACAGAGGTGGCTCCTCATGACAGTGAGTTCCCATGAAAACTGATGGTTTTAGAAGGGACTCTTCCTCTCACTTGACATTTCTCATTACTGCCACCCTGTGAAGAAGATGCCCTGCTTCCCCTTTGCCTTCTGCCATGATTGTAAGTTTCCTGAGGCCTCTCCAGCCATGAAGAACTGTGAGCAAATTAAACCTTTTTCCTTCATAAATTACCCTGTCTCTGGCACTTCTTTATAGCAGTATGAAAATGGACTAACAACCCTATACATCATGACCTGGCCAAATTAACAGACTGTTACAGGCTGAAGTGTGTCCCCGTGAAATTGTAGTCCTGACCTCAAGTACCTCGAAATGTAACTGTATTTGGGGACAGGATTTTTAAAAAATGAAGTCATCAAAGTGGCCCCTAATCCAATATGACTAGTGTCCTTACAAGAAGAGGTTTGTCCACAGACAGGCATGCAGGGAAGACACAGGCAAGAGAAGACAACCATCTACAAGTCAAGGAGAGTCTTCAGAATAAACCAAGCCTGCTGACACCTTCATCTCAGACTTCTAGCCTCCATCACTGTGAGAAAATAAATTATTGTTGTTTAAGCCACCCAGTCTGTGACACTTTGTTATGGCAACCTTAGCAAAATAATGTACAGATCCACAGTGAACTAGCTCTACTAGAAAGCACTGATAATTACTATTGAAGGATTCTATCTATGACATACTGATCATACTAATGTCAGCAGTTATGGGTGCAGAAGTTTTTTTTTTTTCAGACGAAGTTTCACTCTTGTTGCCCAGGCTGGAGTGCAGTGGTGTGATTTCGGCTCACTGCAACCTCCACCTCCCAGGTTCAAGCGATTCTCCTGCCTCAGCCTCCCGAGTAGCAGGGATTACAACAGGTGCCTACCACCACGCCCAGCTAATTTTTTGTATTTTTAGTAGAGACGGGGTTTCACCATGTTGGCCAAGCTGGTCTCAAACTCCTGACCGCAGGTGATCCAACTGCCTCTGCCTCCCAAAGTGTTGGGATTACAGGATTGAGCCACAGCACCCAGGTACAATTAAGTTTTATGTGAGGGTTCTCTGAAACCTTAAAAAACAAACAAACAAACAAAAAAACCAAAAAAAACTCTGTAAGGGTTCCTCTAGGTAAAAGGATTGAGAAAGGCTGTTACAGTGCTTTCCCTCTCCCTTTGACGGCATCCACTGGAAGTTACCTTCTCTTCTTCCTAGACCCAGCTTTGCTGGCCATTTTACTTACTAATCTGTGTTCACTAAGTGCCTTCTACGAACACTAGGCTGGGCACTGGGGATATAATGGTGAACAACAGACAAGTTCCTGCCTTCAGGAATTTTAGTCCAACAGGATAGAGATGAAAACTACTACTATATTGTGTTTTTTGTTTTTTGAGACAGAGTCTCGCTCTGCCAGGCTGGAGTGCAGTGGCACACTCTCAGCTCATTGCAAACTCCACCTCCAGGGTTCAAGGGATTCTCCTGCCTCCCAAGAAGCTGGGACTACCAGCCATGTGCCACCATGCCTGGCTAACTTTTATATTTTTAGTAGAGATGGGGTTTTGCCATGCTGGCCAGGCTGGTCTCCAACTCCTAGCCTCAAGTAATCCACCCGCCTTGGCCTCCTAAAGTGCTGGGATTAGAGGCATGAGCCACCGTGCCCGGCCTATATCATGTTTTGATAAATACTACAACAGTATTAGAGCACAGGGACACTAATACCCTTTGAGATTCATGGAAGGGATGAGAGGCAAAGAATAAACAGATGTTAGCCAAACTCCTATGGGTTGTTCTAGACAATGAAGGGACCTGTACAGAAGCCATGGTAAATGTACTGTGCTGTGACTCTGTGCTCCAGGGTGCTAGTCCTCATCCTTGAGGAGGTAAAACTAAGAGTTATGATTTGAGATGGGCCAGGAGACAAGGATGGCACCAACTGAGTGACTCATAAGAGGGCGATAAGCATTCTCAAGAGGCCATAGACCATTTAGGGCTATAATACTTATGTAAAAATTTTATTCCCTTACAATGGGAAGGCAGATGAGGAATTAGAAGTGATAACAAGTAACAGAGAACAAAAGTGCTAAGAGGCTAGAGAAGAAAAACAATGGAATTAATGATCAGGCTCTAACACTGCTCCCCTTAAAAACGTTAATTCCGGGCATGGTGGCTCACGCCTGTAATTCCAGCACTTTGGGAGGCCGAGGCGGGCAGATCATGAGGTCAGGAGATCGCAACCATCCTGTCTAACATGGTGAAACCCTGTCTCTACTAAAAATACAAATAGTTAGTGGGGCGTGGTGGCGGGCGCCTGTAGTCCCAGCTACTCGGGAGGCTAAGGCAGGAGAATGGTGTGAACTCGCGAGGTGGAGGTTGCAGTGAGTGAGCCAAGATTGCGCCACTGCACTCCAGCCTGGGCGACAGAGCGAGACTCCATTTCAAAAAACAAAACAAAACAAAACAAAAAACCACATTAATTACAATTACTTAACTGCCTGCTTCCTGTAGTTGTCATTAGGCTAATAATTGAGGACCTGTCCTTTTACTTCTAATTTATAATAGTCCAATGTTTATCAAAGTCAAGTTTTTCTCCATGTATCCTTAAAATTATTTACTCTGAATTCTAAGTATAATATTAAAACCACAAAACCTTGCAAAAAGAAAAATTGTAATTTATATATCTATAAGGGACTTGTATTTAGAATACATGAAGAACTTCTACAGTTCAGTACTACAAAGACAACCCATTTTTAAAATGGGCAATGGAGTGGGGTGTGGTGGTTCACACCTGTAATCCCAGCACTTTGGGAGGTCAAGGCAGTGGATCACTTGAGCCCAGAAGTTACCATCCTGGGCAACAATGGCAAAACCCTGTTTCTACAAAAATTAGTTGGGCATGGTGGTGCATGCCTGTAGTCCCAGCTACATGGGAGGCTGAGGTGGGAGCACTGCTTGAGCCCAGAAGATGGAGGTTGCAGCGAGCCAGGATTGTGCCACTGTACTCCAGCCTGGGCAACAGAGAAAGACATTGTCTTAAAAAAAGGAAAAAAAAAAAATGGGCAAAGGAACTGAATAGACACTTCTCCAAAGAAGATACATAAATGGCCAATATGCACATGAAAAGATTTTCACCATCATTAGTCATTAGGGAAATGCAAATGAAAATCACAATAAGACATATCTTCACAACTACTAGGATGGCTAAAATCAAGCAGATAGTATCAAGTGTTAGATAGTATCAAGTGCTGATGAGAATGTGGAGAAATTCTCCACATCATATACTGCTGTAGGGAATGTAAAATGAAACAATTGCATTAGAAAACAGTCTGGTGATTGTTGAAAAGGTTAAACACAGAATTACCATATGACCCAGAAATTCCTAGGTTTATACCTAAGAGATATGAAAATATACGTCCACACAAAAACTTGTACATTGCCAGGCACGGTGGCTCATGCCTGTAATCCAAGCACTTTGGGAGGCCAGGGTGGGTGGACTGCCTGAGCTCAGGAGTTCAAGACCAGCCTGGACAACATGGCAAAACCCCAACTCTACTAAAAATACAAAAAGTTAGCCAGGCGTGGTGGTGCGCGCCTGTAGCCCCAGCTACTTGGCAGGCTGAGGCACAAGAATCGTTTGAACCCAGGAGGCGGAGGTTGCAGTGAACCAAGAGCATGCCACTGCACTCCAGCCCAGGGAATAGAGAAAGACTCTGTGTCAGAAAACAAAAAACAAAAACAATTTGTACATGAAAGTTCATAGAAGCATTATTCGTAACAGCCAAAAAAAAAAAAAAAAAAAAAGAGACAACCCAAACATCTATCACTCTGGCATGGGAGATAAGAGTGAGATCCTGTCTCAAAAAAAAAAAAGAAGTATATAAAAAAGCATTTTGTAAAACTCAGTCCCGTGCAATATAATTACATTTATTTTAATTACTCAATTCTTTATTACCACAGATAACTAAGAACTAGAAGCAATATTTTCCATTTGATAAATACTAAATTATATGTACTTAGTTACTTTTTTAGGTACTTAGTACCTTTTATCCCTTAGTGCCTTTTTTTCCCCAGGTTTATCAGAAAAAAAGCAAATCCATCACAAGCTAGCTAAAAGATGGTGATCTGATTTTATTCATGTAACAACCTTTACAGGACCTAATACATACCATTTCCCCTCCATACTTCAGCTAAATGGCAGCTGCCTTCTCCAGGTTCCTTGCAAAATTCTACAACATCTCGACAGGTTGTTTCTGGTGTTATAGGAACTTCTGTTAAAATCTGTTCATTGTTGCTCAAGAAAACGGTTAATATCATCTGTAAGAGAAAAGATTAAAGCTACAACTTAAGATTCCTTATCACAAAGAGATTAATCTATAAATTTAAAGTGATCCCTCTACCCACCCCCTGCCCCCAAAATGCCAACAGGATTCTTTTCTGGAAATAATAAAAGATAAGCTGATTCTAAAGTTCACGTACAAGATGAAAAAGACAAGTCAGGAAAATTCCAAACGAGAAGTAATAGAAAAGAGCACTACCAGATCATTATAAAGCCCCAAAACAACAAGGCACCAGTACACATATAGATCAACGGGGCAAAGTCATATCCCAGAAATAGACCCAATTACCCATGAAAAAAATGGCAAATGATGAGGGAGGTATCTCAAAAATCAAGGAGGAAAAACGACTATACAATGAGTGATGTTTGAACAAAACATATCCATCTGGGAAAAAAATGGGTTTCATACCATATATCGTACACCAGCATAATTTCCTAATAGATCAAATATTTAGATACGAACCCTAAAACCATAAAAAGTCCAGAATAAAACCTGGGTAAATTCCCTTTTATAGCCTTGGAGTATAGATGTTGTTTCTAACTATGACTCAAAAACCAGACACTATTTTTAAAAAGATTGATATTCAAGTATATTAAATATACGAATCTCGGCCGGGCGCGGTGGCTCAAGCCTGTAATCCCAGCACTTTGGGAGGCCGAGGCGGGTGGATCACGAGGTCAGGAGATCGAGACCATCCTCGCTAACATGGTGAAACCCCGTCTCTACTAAAAATACAAAAAACTAGCCGGGCGTGGTGGCGGGCGCCTGTAGTCCCAGCTACTCGGAGGCTGAGGCAGGAGAATGGCGTGAACCTGGGAGGCGGAGCTTGCAGTGAGCCGAGATCGCGCCACTGCACTCCAGCCTGGGTGACACAGCGCGAGACTCCGTCTCAAAAAAAAAAAAAAAAAAATATAAGAATCTCTTATAAACCAAAAAAACAAGGTAGGGGAAAATATTTGCAACTCATATTACAAATAAATAGCTAATCCCCTCAATACATAAAGCGCTCCTAAAAAAATGATAATAAAAAGACCAAAAATCCAATTCCTTAAAAGAAATTGGCCAGGGAGGTGTATTAATATATCACAGTAAAAGAAAAATAAACGACCCTTAAACCGAAAAAATACATTATAGTGTATTCGAAAAAATTAAAACCGTCTGGCGTCATTTTATTTTTTTGAGACAGGGTCTCACTCCGTCATCCAGGCTGGAGTGCAGTGGTGTGATCTCGGCTCACTGCAACTTCTGCCTCCCAGACTCCAGAGATCCTCCTGCCTCGGCCTCCCAAGTAAGCTGGGACTCCAGGCATGTGCCACCATGTCCAGCTAATTTTTGTATTTTCTGTAGAGACAGGGTATTGCCATGCTGCCCACGCTGGTCTCAAACTCCTGAGTTCAAGCAACCCTCCTGCCTTGGCCTCCCAAAGTGCTGGGATTACAGATGTGAGCCACTACACCTGGTGTTTTAACTGTTTTTTTGTTTTTCTTGAGACAGAGTCCCACTCTGTCGCCCAGGCTAGAGTGCAATGTCACGATCTTGGCTCACTGCAACCTCTGCCTCCTGGTTCAAGCAATTTTCCTGCCTCAGCCTTCTGTGAGCAGCTGTGATTACAGGCGCATACACCACCATGCCCAGTTGATTTTATTTTGTATTTTTAGTAGAGACAGGTTTTCGCCATATGGACCAGGCTGATCTCGAACTCCTGACCTCAAGTAATCTGTCTGCCTTGGCCTCCCAAAGTGCTGGATTACAGGCGTGAGCCACTGTGCCTGGCCTTTTTTTTTTTTTTTTTTTCAAATTTCAAAAAAATACTAACACTTTGATCTAGCATCTTAAGACATCATACTGGAAGGAAAATGTTTTCTCTTTTTTCTTTTCCTCAGTGGAACAATGAAAGAGATACTTTAAAAACAATACACCTAGCTGGGCGTGGTAGCTCACGCCTGTAATCCCAGGACTTTGGGAGGCCAAGGCGGGCGGATCACGAGGTCAGGAGATCAACACTATCCTGGCTAACAGGGTGAAACCCCGTCTCTGCTAAACAAAACACACACACAAAAAAAGAAAATCAGCTGAGCGTGGTGGCGGGCACCTGTAGTCCCAGCTACTCAGGTGGCTGAGGCAGGAGAATGGCATGAACCCGGGAGGTGGAGCTCGCAGTGAGCCTTTTTCGCGCCACCGCACTCCAGCCTGGGCGACAGAGCGAGACTCCGTCTCAAAAAAAAAAAACAACAATACACCTAAAGTAAAAATTAGGCCAGGCATCGTGGCTGTCATCTGTAATCCCAGCACTTTGCGAGGCCAAGGTGGGTGGATCACCTGAGATTAGGAGTTCAAGACCAGCCTGGCCAACATGGTGAAACCCCAACTCTGATAAAAAAAGAAATACAAAAATTAGCCAGGTGCAGGCCGGGTGCGGTGGCTCACGCCTGTAATCCCAGCACTCTGGGAGGCCGAGGCGGATGGATCACCTGAGGTCGCGAGTTCGAGACCAGCCTGACCAACATGGAGAAAATACAAATAAAATTAGCCAGGCATTGTGGTGCATGCCTATAATCCCAGCTACTCGGGAGGCTGAGGCAGGGGACGCGCTTGAACCCAGGAGGCAGGGGTTGCAATGAGCCAAGACTGCGCCACCACACTCCAGCCTGGGTGACGGAGCGAGACTCTATCGCAAAAAAAAAAAAAAAAAAATTAGCCAGGCACAGTGGAACAACTACTCAGGAGGCTGAGGCAGGAGGATCACTGAAACCTGGGAGGCATGGGGTTGCAGTGAGCCAAAATCGCACCACTGCACTCCAGCCTGGGTGACAGAGCAAGACTCCGTTTCAAAAAAATATAATAAATAAAAATAAAAGAATAAAAAATCATTTCTGTCTAATCTTCGATAAAAGGTCAGAAACAGGCCAGGAATGGTAGCTCACGACAGTGGTCTCAGACGAAGGCTGAGGTGGGAAGATCACTTGATCCCAGGAATTTGAAGGTGCAGTGCAGCTTACAATCACGCCTCTGCACTCTAGCCTGGGCAACAGAGCCAGACCTTAAAATCTCTGAATTCGAGTAAGTATATAATTTCAGTTTGTTGTTAAGATTTTTTTTTCATCCAGGCGCAGTGGCTCACGCCTGTAATCCCAGCACTCTGGGAGGCCAAGGTGGGCGGACCATGTGAGATCAGGAATTTGAGACCAGTCTGGCCAACATGGCAAAACACTGTCTCTACTAAAAATACAAAAAATTAGCCAGGCGTGGTGGCCCGCGCCTCTAGTCCCAGCTACTCAGGAGGCTGAGGCATGAGAATCACTTGAACCCCAGGGGGGCGGAGGTTGCAATGAGCCAAGATCGCACCATTGCACTCCAGCCTGGGCAACACAGCAAGACTCTGTCTCAAAAAAAAAAAAAATTTTTTTTTTCTTACAAGTGCCCTAAATTCCTACATTCTGAAATTAAGCATCTTTACAAGTATGATCAGATTTTATGTAACCAAAATTGGTAACAGTTTTAAACTGGTTTCCTTGCCACCAATCTCCCCTGACTCTAACTCCTCACCCACTACCATTTCATTTCTTTTTTTTTCTTTTTTTTGAGACGGAGTTTCACTCTTGTTGCCCAGGCTGGAATGCAATGGCATGATCTCGTCTCACCGCAACCTCCACCTCCCAGGTTCAAGTGATTCTCCTGCCTCAGCCTCCCGAGTAGCTGGGACTATAAGCACTGGGATTACAGGCATGCGCCACCACACCCAGCTAATTTGGTATTTTTAGTAGAGACAGTGTTTCTCCATGTTGATCAGGCTGGTCTTGAACTCCCGACCTCAGGTGATCTGCCCACCTCAGCCTCCCAAAGTGCTGGGATTACAGGCATGAGCCACCACGCCTGGCCTACCATTTCATTTTCTAAAAGTCAAATAAAATTATTCCCTTGCTTAAAATATTTAAGAGCTCCCCACTGCCCAACACCAGCCCTTCCCAAAACACCCTCTCTGGTATATAAGCAGGACACAGGTTTCTTACCTGAGCACTCCTTAAGAGTCTAATGTAATGATCATGTATATTTCTTTTTTCCCTCCAGGGAATCTCATGAGGCTTGGATTTCTATAAAATATACTCTGAGAAAACAAGATAAACTACATGCTCCTAGCCTTCTAGCTTCTAAGTCTCTCCAAGCACTAAACCTCCCTCCATCAGCATCAATGGAGTTCTCTCTGGCAGCCATGTCTCTGCCGAAGTACCCTTCCTGTTTGCCTGTAAATTCCTATTCACAATTCAAAACTCAGCTCCTAACTACCATCTTTGCAAAACATCCCTTACCACCTCCGCTCACCAGGGAGGCCACAAGCTCCTTCCTTTGCAATCCAGTGGCTCTTCACCCAGATATCTATTGCATCACCTCAATGACTCCCTCCCCTCATAGACTCTGCACTCTTCCAAGCACTTCACTTTTGAGTCTTTAATTTCCCATTGCTGAGTCAGGACCTGATGCCTGAGAGGCACACTAAAATCTGGTCAACTCCATGAATGACACACAAAATACAGAACACCCACCATGCCCTAAGTTGAGAAAATATATATACACACACAATCGAAGATACATCCAGTCTGTTCAATAAACAAGCATCATCCCTCTTCCCTGAACACATTTCTATTTTACAATAAATTTTTAAAAAATTAAGTAACAGTTACCTCTGCTCACTAACCCGTAAGAATTTATAAAAACTAGGGGTTTTTGTATACTGAAATAAGTAGCCTGGAATCTATAGAATTTGGAATAAAACAGGTAATTACTGGATCCAGCTCAAACAAGGCCAAGACGAATGCTTTAACAGTTTCATCAGAAACAACTGGAATATAGTTTATTCTTACTTATACACATTTATTACACAGTTGTAATGGTAAATATTTTCCAGTGTGACTTCATAATCTATGCTCTTACAGATCTAATAATATATTTTCCCAAATCATGCTTTATAAATTGAAGTTT